TCGTACTAACACCGCCACTTCACACATCACGATGCTGTAAACTGTATCCATTAACTTGTGCTTTTTGTCCCAACCACTCATGCAAGTTTCCATTCACGGTTTTGTGGGAGCTTCAGCTTCCAAGCCCGTCACACCGCTTTCAAACCCGTCGGAATGACAGTTTCCTCCCACAGAAAACTCATAAAGCAAGTTCAAAGACAGAAGGCACCTTCGCACATTTTCCTGGATCCTGGAGTCAACCTTTTTCGGAAGGCCCGGAAATGTTTACGATCTTACTCAGGATTCGTCTCATTGTCAGATGATAAAGCGTTGGTTTCTACACTGGCTGGACCCTGAAACTCTGTGACTTCACTATAAAATGGATCACCGTAGAATATGCGTGGGAAAAATTCGTACTCAAAACGCTCGGGATGTACATTACGTACCCCGGAGATAGGAAGAGCGTGACTGCGCAGGAAGGGTGTGGCTGCGCACTTCATCTTCTGCGAAGTTCCACCAAAAGTACAACCGCGACAATCAAACGAAGTACGCAGCCTCGCTCTCCCCATCTTTAGGATATGGACCATAAGTAGTAGGCATGGCGCATCTCGAAATGTATTGGTCAGCGGAGACAGCCTAATTTATCATGATATTCTGTTATTTAAAGGATAAAGTCTTCGCCGTTGATCAACGCCTTTTAGTGATAGACTTCACGCGGTAGATATTCCGCATCCATCCAAAATTGTAAATGCGATGCGGCCCATAAATAAGTTGTGGGGTCCAGCTGATGTACTAGTAGATGTTTTATCTTCCCAAACAATTCTAGAACCAATGCGGGCACGTGAAACGGGCAAATCAAAAAAGTCAACAACCAAAATATTAATATCAAAGACAAATATACTTCTCTCCCCCCTCCCTTATACCCTCCGACCAAATACGACCCCTCTCGCTGGGGATGCCCGAGGTACGACGTGCCCTGGATATAATGCATAGCTGGTCCGAGCGAGAGTCGATCTGGCCCTCGAACCGTACTGTAAGCGGCCCCACCTCGCCCATGACCACTCCCTTCATTTCGCCCCACTATTACTCTTTCACTTTTTTCGGCTTGACCGACTTAGGATGGCTCCTTAGAAACAAAACTGTGCTAAAGCCATTGAAGATATTTTATTTACAAAATGTCAGAATTTAGCTCTACTGTGAAATATGAAGCCAATCATTAGTAGAGTAAATCAGCTTGTTTCCTAATACGCCATACTGTGAACATAGGGAAGTTTCTTCTCGGGACCTATTCTGCTAGCAATAAATCCTGAAAAAATTCAGGGTTTATGGAAGAAGACGGGCACATATCGCGAAAAACCTCATGTAGTATACGGCGGACGGTATTTACTCGTGATAGGATCAGCTGAACGGTACTTCTTCAGCAGTACGATACCAGCTCTTAACAAAGCTGACCACTCTTATTTTGTTGGTGCTCAGTTGGATTATCAATGGATTCCTATCGACGACATGCAAGACGAGGTAGAGGAAATTGATAGGTATTGAGCACTTGGGGTACAACCGCTGGTATACTCTGGTGTCTTCGAAAAACCTACATTTTCAGCTTCAAATCGACATTGCAATGCCGAGGTCGAATCTATCCATCAACAGCCTTGTCTATTTCATCTTCCTGAACTACACTCTCGATTATCACAGCTTCGTTGAGGTTCGCCGTTTACAGTGGTTGTTTCTTTCAAATGACTAAGTCACCAGTACCGCGCTATTCTGACATCGGCAGGGGGGGGGGTTCGCGAGAGAGGGAGATGTAGGGCCGAGAAAAATGTTGGCGGCGTTATTTGCTCGCTGTTGGGAGGGGTCGTATATCCTCGGTTTTTCCTGTTTCATATGTAGGTTTACTATATACCCCCTCGCTCGACACAGAAAATTTTTGAGTAAAAGTAGGAAAATTTCCCGGCCAATTCCGGAAAAAGTGGGAAAAAGCTGGAAACTGTCGTACTAATCCCCTACGGGGTCGTATCAACCCCTTAAAAAGCGGAGGGGGTCAAGAGAAGACTATTCAAGGCATCTGCATCAGAAATTTTGGGGGTCACTAGCCATAAGTAGCATGAACATGGGTAGTGGGAGCCTGTAGCAAGTAGGCTTTCCAATAGGCGATGTGTCGCTAGAAAATTTGGATATAACCGCAAAAGCCGGAGATCTTCTTTGTTAGCAAGAGCATGCCTGAACATCCCAGGCAAAACGTCTACACATGATGAAGGAGCATGAAGTATCGCACAACCACGCATTCTCTAACATCATCACCACTTCTACCGGCAACGATGATATCCTGAACCCGCCACAACTAGTGGGAAATGTTATCTGGTTGCGATCCAAACCATGTCTCCGTCGGAAGCCCTATCGTTCGCATGGATCATGACTGTACATTTATGCGAATTCTTATGCTAATACCTGCATAGAGCAAAGTTGTTTTTTGATTTTATTTTTGACAGCAATTTGGTTTCTTTAAAATACGAGCGATTCTGAGGCGATATCTTTTGTAACAGCCGGTCTCCAAATTACTGCGGGAACTCGTACACCGGGCGTTTGGCATTTCCTTTTTGTGTTTTTATGAGAAGGGGGGGGGGGGAGGATTCGATCTCTTCGACAACACTCATGATGTGAGAATGTGGGAGCAATGAACGATGGGGCATGGGATAAATTCTTTAAGTAGCAGCACACGTCCGGCTGACACAAGGACCAATGGACACAGGGACTAACATCTGATACGCCATATACAATACCAAGGTCTCCGAACCGTTGCCAGGATAAGAGGTTTGCTTTTAACCTCGTCTCTTGCTGGGGCACTTGATATAACATTACGAACAGGCCTGATATGAATGTGTCCACTCAACTATCACAGTTATAACTTGCTTTTTTAGCTAATCAAGGCAGACAAGTGATAAAGGATAAAGGATAAAGTCTTCGCCGTTAGTTAATCTTTGTGGGATGCGGCACGCATTCTACTTCCATTCAGAATCGTAGTGGCTTATTGAATGCGATGTGGCCTATACAATGACTTGCGATGTACAAGTCAGTGTTTTATCCTCCCAGACGAATCTGGTACCAATTTACCGTCCCCGGAGGGTAGAAGGCTTGGTTGGCCTGGGCGGGTGTCGACCCGGGATTCGAACCCGGGACCGCGCGAGTGGTAAGCGCGCCACTTGTCACTACACCACCTCCGCTATACAAGTGATAGATGCAAATATTGGCAACTGAGCTTATAATGACGATGAGTTCAAACAAAGTAGGTTCAGGCTGAAGTGACACTATATGGTTCGTTGCCGCTATCGAATTCCACTTCATCAGTGACAATTTTTGGAAGATTGGCGGCTGACCAAAAACTACCATTCAGGTGAGTGGTCAATGCTACATGCATGTTGGACCACTTAGTCTACGTTATTTCTCGATTTTTCAGATGGAGAGAAAACTACAGAATGTTCGAACCAAATCATCGGGACATAGAGCATTACTCTCCAACGGAATTACGCGCAGAATCATAGAACAGCCCTTCAACGTTCGAATAGATAGGCAAGTTGTTCTGACACTGGCGTACACTCAAAATCCCTGAGATGCGGTAGGCGTGGCTGGTATCCGAATTGCGCGTAGCAGTGGCTAAGATTTTCGTGTTATTCAACGCAGAACAAGATAACTGTTGTGAAAATCCCGTGAG